CGTGTTAGTTAAGGGTGCTGCACTTCCACATGGCCAACCGCGGTTCGAGTCCTGGACCTGAAGGCTTGCTCACTTACTTTCTCATTTTGTCTCTTTCTTTCTCTGGTCAAATTAAAATAAAGAAATAAAGAAATAATACATAAAATAATTCTTTAAAAAATTTCATTTTAACATACTTGGCAGGGGCTGGCAGGTGACACAGTGGTTAAGGGCACTGGACTCTCACATGGCCGACCATGGTTCAAGTCCCAGACCTGGTGGCTTACTTTCTCACTTTCTGTCTCTCTGTTCCTCTTTGGACAAATTAAAATAAATAAATATGTTTAATAATTCTTTTAAAAAAACATACTGGGCAATCTGTAGTTATGCCACTGTGTTTCCATTAGAATATTGATGGGACAGCCCTGTAACACAGGTTAAGCATCGCATTTGCATAGGAAGCCAGATTCCGCAGGCACAACTACAGTTCGAATCCCAGCCCTGGTGGCTTGAAAAAAGACACTGAATATGGATGCGTGAGTGTGTGGGTGTGTGCATGAGTGAATGCGTGGGTGCGTGCATGGGTGTGTGCATGCTCAGAATGCCAAGGGGATGGAGAAATGGAGGAAAAGGGGTGGGGCATGGCCACGCCCCATTGGGGGGGCTGCTTTCTCTCTCTCCATCTCTTCTTATCTCTCCCTCCTTTCTAGCTTCTGGTCACAAAAAGGTGCTGACAAAGTGAATTATTATTTAGTATAACGTTATTTGGAATTAGATTATTATTTAGTTTTATTGATTATAGATTATTTGCTAGTGTTATCTCCAAACAAAAATTGTGATTTGTTTCTAGGTGGGCTCACTGAAGATAGAGAATCAAGCTAGGTAGATCATGTCAAATACATAAATACAGTGCCATTTTGAACTGGTTCTCTAGGGTCTGTGTGTGTGTTTTAAAAGCAGGTTTAGGTTTTTGCTGTAGTTATTTAGAAATAAATATTTGAGCGAAACATAGTGTTTAATAAACCAGCATGCTTACTTCACCTTTGATGAAAGTCCTTGAAGGCCACTCTCTCTCCTTCCCCGCACACAGAGCCTGGACTCTCAACATCGGATATATTGTCTTGGATTAAACAAGAGGAAGAGCCTCAGGCCGGGGCCCCCCAAGAGCCCAAGGAGAGCGACATGTACAAGAGCACCTATGCCGGTGCGTGTCGGAGCCCAGAGATGCTCACACCAGGTGGGGGGTTGCAGAGGCAGCGGTGGGTGAGCGAGAGCAGGGCACGGAGATGTGCTCCAGGATGTTAGCAATGGAACCCGAAGGTCACTGAGATGACTTTCGGGGGGAAACCCACTCTTAAGTGCAAAGACAAATTAGAATTGTCACAGAAAGAAAAATAAATGATAGAAAAACATTTGGAGATTATGTAGACGGGAAAGAACGAGAACCTGCAGTGGGTAGGGGACAAGCAGTGGAAACCAAAATGTCATTGGAGAGGTGGAAGTGGGAGTATTAAGTAAGCCTTCGTCAGAGGAAGGAAAAATGAGGATGGGACAGAAGTGGAGCTGCCTTCCTTCTCAGGTATGTAGGCCTTCTGCATTTTACAGAGGGATTAGGGGAGTCCCAAGGTTGGAAGGGACCCCATCGTATACAACTTAGCAGTTTTTTTTTTTTTAAGAATTAATTAATTTTATTTATTATTATTTTAATTTAGTTTTTTTTTTAAAGAGACTTTTGCTATAGGGCATGTGCATTTGCCAGAGATAAAGTGGGAAATCACCCCCTGGGGGGGATGGCCACACCACAGTCCCTTCTCCTCCATTCTCTCAGGATTTTGGGCATGCATGCACACGTGCTGGTGTGAGTTTCAAGTTGCTGGGTCTGGGACTCAACTGTGGTTGGCTGTGTGGGAGTTCAGTGCTCCAACCACCACGCTACCTGTATGCCCCAGCTTTGCATTTTTAACATCTTTTGTGCCCTGTGTGCTTTTCGACTCTGGGGAACCCAAATGAAAAATAACACAGCTTCTGCTCTTCAGAAACTGGCGGGGGTGCACGTGCCGTGGCAGGCCTCCCTGTTGTTGAGTGTTAAGGACAAGTGGATGAATGACTCAGAGAAAAGAAGACGGAAGTTGGAAGATCTGCATCACTGTTGGTTTAGGTTTTTAGATGAGGTCTGAAGGAGGGTGAAGCCAGACTCAGGCCTTCGAAGACGGGTGTGACATGGCCAGTGCAAGCTGGGAAAATGGGGATGGAGAGGAAGCTGTCTGGGGAGGGCAGAGAGAACCCCGGTGCAGAAGCATCCCCGGGTCCTTTGTTTTCAGGGATAGGAAAGAAACGGCTGCCAGTTGTGGAGGATTATCTGGTAGAATAGAGAACAGGAGAAGATAAATGTGATTTTAGGCTTTGTCACCGCAGGCAGCAGAGCAAGTTCTTGGGCCACGGAGAACATTCTTGAAGGTGTGGTGGGCGGTGTGATGCCAGGCATCTTCCTTCTCCACACAGAATGCGTAGCGGAGGCACAGTGTTGGGTCCTCTGACAACTGGTGCACGGCCCTGCCAGTGCCTCGGTTGTCACTGCAGCCCCCAGCTGAGTCCGTTAAGAGCGTGGGGCAGTCTGAGCTGGGCAGGGTGCGTGAGTTCCTGTGAGTCAGCTGTGGAGAGGCATGACCTTTGAGTCCTTTCTTTCAGATGAAGAGCTCGTCATCAAAGCCGAAGGCCTTGCTAGAACTTCGTTGTGTCCCGACGTTCCCGTCACCTTCTCTTCTCCACCAGCAGCAGCCAAGGATGCTTTTTCAGACATAGCTTTCAAAAGCCCACAGTCTGCATCCGTGACAGCTTTTGGACGACCGGCCACTGACCTGCCTGAAGCCTCTGAGGGTCAAGTGACATTTACACAGCTGGGTAGCTACCCCCTCCCACCACCTGCTGGGGAGCAGGCCTTCTCCTGCCACCACTGTGGCAAGAGTCTCAGCCAGGATATGTTGTTGACCCACCAGTGTAGCCTCAGCAGCGAGCACCCCTTACCGTGCGCCCAGTGCCCTAAGCACTTCACTCCGCAGGCCGACCTCAGCAGCACCTCCCAGGACCACGCTGGTGAGACACCCCCCACCTGCCCACACTGCGCCAGGACTTTCACTCACCCTTCGAGACTCACCTGCCATCTTCGGGTCCATAACAGCACAGAGCGCCCTTTCCCCTGCCCCGACTGCCCCAAGCGCTTTGCCGACCAGGCCCGACTTACCAGCCACCGGCGAGCTCACGCAAGCGAGAGGCCATTCCGCTGTGCCCAGTGCAGTCGGAGCTTCAGCCTCAAGATCAGCCTTCTGCTCCACCAGCGGGGCCATGCACAGGAGCGGCCATTCTCTTGCCCTCAGTGTGGCATCGACTTCAACGGGCACTCAGCCCTGATCCGCCACCAGATGATCCACACTGGCGAGCGCCCGTACCCATGCACGGACTGCAGTAAGAGCTTCATGCGCAAGGAGCACCTGCAGAACCACCAGCGGCTGCACACGGGCGAGCGGCCCTTCAGCTGCGCTCACTGCGGCAAGAGCTTCATCCGCAAGCACCACCTCATGAAGCACCAGCGCATCCACACCGGGGAGCGGCCCTACCCCTGCTCCTACTGCGGCAGAAGCTTCCGCTACAAACAAACACTCAAGGACCACCTGCGCTCAGGCCACGGCGGGGGCTGTGCAGGTGACAGCGACCCTTCTGGACAGCCGCCTGACCCGCCAGGTCCCCTCTTAACTGGGATTGAAGCCTCTGGCCTAGGCGTTAACCCTGAAGGTCTAGAGGCCAACCAGTGGTATGGGGAAGGGAGTGGAGGGGGAGTTTTGTAAATTTCTCTGACTTCATGGTCGTCTTTGCCACAGCAGAGTGGAAGATCCAAGAGAGGCCCATGAGCCTGTTCACACTCACAGCCGCCCTTACCTGACACTGAATTCAACGCCCCGTACCCTTGACTGGTGGCATGCTTGCTTTTTGGAACATCAC